GCTCTTTCTCAGATTTTAGTTTGCCGTTATTCTGACTTCATAGAAGGAATTTGGATTCTTCATTTTCTCCTCTCTTTAAAAAGTAAGAGAGTCATCAGCCCTTTGAAGATCTGAAGAAATTCACCTGGGAAGACACCTGGCAGTTTTTCAGTGGTTAAACTGTTTTATATCTTCCTGAATTTATTCCATGATCTGTCTGTGACACTTTACTATCTCTTCTACAATTTTATAAGTTCTATAAAATGATAAATGTAGTGATAGTGTTTACATTTTCCTAGAAAGAATTTTCATTGATTAATTTTATTTGCTTAGATTTGTAAAAGATATATATGGTATCTCAAATTCCTTTACAGTCAGAGTTACTTTGATTCACTTATATTTTAGTATTGAACGTTTGTGCTTCTGAGTTTTCTCCAGAACTGAGTGTGCTAATAGTTGTCTGTTTTATTGATTTTAAAGATTAGGTTTTCGAATTGATTTATCAGCAGCAACATGGCATCTCTACTTTTTGACTGAATAGTTTCTGCTTTTGTATTTTTGATTCTGTATTCATACTTGTGTTTCTGTCATACTGCCCATATTCCATAAGTAATAGTTGATATAAATTAAAAAGCACCATTTTATAAAAGCATGTTTTACCTCTGAAGGAAATACTGATTATTGATAGCTTGGTGTGAATTATTTTAGTCCACGTACTTCTCTTTACACAGAGAGAAGAGCCACCCATTTCTGGGACTGAGTCTAGTTTAATCTGCTGAGGACTTGCCTCTTTTAGCTGTTTCATTTCTCTGATTGTGAGTTGTGCTGAAATAAGCTGAAATTAGCCCACTGAGTGAATGGGAGTCTTGATAAGGCAGGAAGGAAGGGGGTTGTGATTTAGGAGGAGGGACTCTTGTTAGGGCATATTGATAGGAGGCTTGTAGAAAAGCCAGAAAACGAACTAGGGAAGTGCCCAAGACATAGCCTGAGAGTCCTTGGTAAATCTGCTGTAATGAGAGACGGGAAATGGGAACTCAGATTCTGTAAGCAAGGGTGGCCCTTTACCCTACTTTGCCTGTCACTTTTCATTCTGTCAGTAGCTCATTGCTGAAGACGTTAAAAACCACAAATCCTTTTGCAGGGATAAAGTTCATAATCATTCTGTTTTTTAAAACATAGCAAAGATTGTATGATTGTTGTTCAATGTAATGGGAAATCTGGATTAGAAAAGATTTTACCTAGAGAGGGACTAAAAAACCTTCCCCCCAGATCTGCTGAACCATTACTATTTATTAAAACCTGACATGTTCGTAGCACTTGGGCACTCTAAAAGCATCATAATTGCTTATTTTTAAAAAACTTAAAATTAGTTAATACACACATACTTATATCACTCATCTGTTATATTAAATATGTATATTATTGCATCCCATTCCTTCATTACATAGTAAACTAGAGATAGTAAGTTAATGATATCTGTCAGTTATGTCAAAAGTCAGCTAACAAATATCTGCAGGACTGCTGGGTACAGTATTCATGGACAGCATAAACTACCCTTTGCTGGAGTAATATTGCATGCGAAAGTTCACTCTAACCCTGCGAATTATCAGATGACTTATCCTTTCCATTTTGAGTTCTTTTTACCTGGGCTGGTTGACTGCAGTTTTTTTTTTTTTTTTTTTTTTTAGCCCCAAAATGCTATAAATGTAAATGTGTTAGATATACTACCTAGGGTTAACCACAACCTATAACTAACAAAAGTGATACTACTAACACTAAACAGTATTACATCATTAAAAGTTGAAACATAGCGCCGACGTAACACCTGACCTTAGAAACAGTGGTGCCTTTCTCAAGATGGCAGGGGTTCCAGCTGTCCGTGCTTGGAGTTTCACTATGCCCAAGTGTAGCAGAGCTTTGCAGTGAGCCAAACCATGTGGGGTTGAAAGTGTAGAATTGATTGATCCCCCATAAATGCTAGCCATATTCTAATTTCAGCTTACAGTATGTAAGTGCCAACTTTAAGAGAGTTTAGCAAGTTATGTATTAGGGTACTAATAAATAAGACTTGCAAGTTAATAGCATTATGCAACATCAACCAGAAGTCTCCATTCCAAATAGGAGTGAGTGAGTGACCTGTGGACTTGCATCTTGTTACCAGTTAAAGGCCTGTCATGCAGCGCTTATGGTCAGCTGTGGACAAACCACTGAGAATCAGGCCCCTACCCCGGAGTTCACTCAGCTTATAGTTTGGCTAGAACACAAGGAATTAATTCCCCATGTTTCCATCCTGATATGTATTTTCCTTTTACTATATGAAAAAGGTTTTTTTCTTTATTATATAGACATATTGAACAGATCTCACCAGATATTATTTGTTGAAACATTAACAAATATTTTGTAGGCCAGTTTGACAATGTCTGCTCAGTAAGTTTTCCCTTTGACTTAACAATTCTACCACTACAAATTTGTTTAAGGAATAGCCAGAGATATATTTAGAAGAAAACCTACTCTCTGACATTGTTGTTTTTGCTTACCACTGCAAACAGACTAAATTTTATCAATAGACTATTGACTACATTATATTTGTATACTAGAATGGGAATGCCATGTAGCCATTCAAAAGAAAATGGGAAACCTTCTTAAATAGAAATGTCTCCCAGATACCTTACATGGTGGAAAAAACTGGCCAAAGAGGGGGATATGGTCATATGTTTGCTTTTAAATATTCATATACTAAATTACATACAGGAAATAAAGGACTTGCATTAAATATAAGGTACATATAAATATATGTCAAGTTTTGTGTTATAGTTAAGTAGGATTAGCTATATAAAATGTCAGTAGCATGTCTACCTGGTGTACTGAAATAATAAATCTTACTATCATTTTTACCTTCACAGGGCAAATTTGGGAAGAAAAAGTAAAGTTCCTTTGCTTATTTTATAGGCTTTGTCTGGATTTAAATTTTTTAAATTTTTTTGATGAACATGTAATACGAATACAGTTTAGTGGAGGACAGTGTAGTAGTTCAACACATGTAAACACATCAGATAATTAGCATTTCCATTTCCCTTCCCTGACATTTGAAGCCCAAGAGCACCTCTGTGTAGTTCTTTCTGTGGTGACTAATGCTTTATTGTGAACTATGCACAGGCTACCGGTACCCAGTACTTCTGTCTAATTGTGTTTTGGTGATCATTATCCATGCTCCCTCTACAGCAAACATGTATCACTTTTGTCATAAAATAAGACAGAAAACTGTTTGTTCTTGAGGAAATATCTGGAAAACATGCTCATGTTAAAGGATTAATGACCCCACCCAACAATGCTTTTCAACAACATGGGATGTGGAGGAATCCCTGACACGAACTTGGGGATAATTTAGGTTCTTTGGGAGACGCTCTTCTCTAGGTCAATGAAAGCTGTTTGGTTCTTTGTTCTCATCTTTTCCTGATTACCCACAGTATTGATTTTATTGTTTCCTTCATGTTCTCAAATGTGTGTGTCTGCATATGCATATGCACATGCGTGTTTGTGTGTGTGTGTGTGTGTGTACAGATTCCAAGTATGCATATCATTTTAGCATTTAGATGATTTAAGAATGGTTGGAAAATTCGAAGAAGCAGTGAAAAGAATAAGTAAAAGTGATTATTGATTAGTTATCCCGACGAAGCCAGGCAAGCTTCCTTGTTCTCCCATCCTCAGTCTTAGCAAAGGGGAACCACTCTGCAAATAGTTGAAAGGGGTAGTCCAGTGACCAGTTAAGTGCCCAATTAACTACTATTTATACCTTTATAACAATTATTATAAAGACTCTGCATGAAAACATTGATTACAGTAGTAGGTCATTTGCTTTAAAGAATTTCATTCTCAACTATTATTACTCATGGTCTGTGAACTATGGAATCGTTAGGATAATTACGTATCTGTATAATGCTGGTGTTAAATTTCATTAAGAGGGGCCAGTGCTGTAGCACAGGAGGTTAAGCTGTGACCTGCAGCACCAGCATCCTATTTGGGTGCTGGTTTGAGTCCCAGCTGCTCCACTTCCAATCAGGCTCTCCCAGCTAATGTGCCTGGGAAAGCAGCGGAAGATGGCCCAATCCCTGGGCCTCTTCACCCCCACATAGGAGACCTAGAAGAAGCTCCTGGCTCCTGGCTCTGATCTGGTATAGTCCTGGCCATTGCAGCCATTTGGGGAATGAACTAGCAGATGGAAGATCTCTCTGGTTCTTCTTCTCTCTGTAACTACATGTTTCAAATAAATGAATGAATATTAAAAATTTCATTGAGAGTCATTAAAAATTATGGAAAGTTTGTCCATTGGAATACTTCTGAGTGTCAGTTTTTTTCATAAGTTAGCAACATTACTTAATGCTGCCTTTATTACATAGGAATTTGACTAAACTGATTGATTCTTTCTAAAGTGAGAGTAACATGAGATGCCTGAGCCTCAGAACTTGAAAATACTTTGCTTGTAGTAGGTGGGATGATGGGGTGCTGTTTTATTGGGAAAGATGGTGTCCAGATTTGAATCCCTACATGTACATAAACAGTGTTGTGTACAGTACGCTCATGATGGTTGGAGACAATGTTTGATGTGTTTAAGAACAGACTATGGGATCAGACTGCTGGGGTTCCCGTCTTGGCACTGCCACTTCTTAGCTGGCAGCTGTATGATTGTGGACAAATTACCCCTCCCTGCGTTAGTTTCCACCTCTGTAAAGTACGAGTATGAGAAGGAGGTGGTAGACCTCCGTTGTATACGTTGTTATAAGGTTGTTCTGAGAATGAAGTGAGTTAGTGCTTATAACGCTCGCACATGACGCAGTTGTTCGGTAAGTGCAGCTGCTGGTACTCATCCCCGTTCTGCTCGTCCAGTATCTGGAGTGCTTACACACGTGTTGTCAGGAAGACTGAACTGCCGCCTTCCCAGTATTGTTGGAAGCCTGTTTTTCTTAGGTGTCAGGACTGATTTCATGCCAGTTTTGAGTGTTCGTTTCTTGTTTGCATTACAGTTACAAACTACAATACTGTGGTGGAAACGAATTCAGATTCAGACGATGAAGACAAACTCCATATCGTGGAAGAAGAGAGTGTCGCCGATGCGGCGGACTGTGAAGGCGGTGTGCCCGAGGACGAGCTGCCGGCAGAGCAGACGGTGCGGCCCGGGCGCGGGGAGCGAGAAGGCGCCTCCCAGAACTGCTGGGAGGATGACGGTAACGCCCCGCTCTTTGTCGTTTTCCGCTCGCTCGGGCCTGTTTTTGTAAAATAGTGACTGAAAAGAGAAATGGCATGAAAAGCTTGAACAGCAAACTTTTTTATTCATCAATATTAGGTGTCCATCTGCATACTGAAGGGGAGGTTCTGAAGAACAATGAATAATAAAACCATGTTGACCATTTGTATTGTACTCGATATGATACACCGAATTCTAGTGGATTTTTCTAAGCAAGATTGAGCTTTCCATATGTTGTGGATTAATCGATTTCATATTGTGACTCCAAATGGAGACTCTACTTAGGTGCAATGAGTTCATGTCCTCTGGGTGTATGCCCAGGAGTGGAATTATTGGATCAGAGTGCAGGTCCATTTCTAGTTCTTAAGGAAGTCTTCATACTGCTTTCCGCAGGACTGTACTAACTCGGCATTCCCAGCAGCAGTATATAGGAGTTCCCCCCCCCTCCACACCTCCACCAGCATTTGTTATTCTCCTTTTCATCATAGCTGTTCTGACAGGAGTGAGGTGGGAGCTCACTGTGGCTTTGGTCTACATCTCCCTGATACTGAGCTTTGTTTCATGTATTTACTAGCCATCTGTCTTTCTTCTCTGAAGGACTGCCCAGTTCTTAAATACCTGCTGTAGCTTGTTTATAGCAGCATTGTTCACAATAGCCAAAATATGTGATCAGCCAAACTGTCCATCATCTAATGAATTAATAAAGAAAATGCGGTATACCTGCGCAGTGGAATACCATTCAGCTCTTAGAAACAAACAAACAAACAGACAAAGCCTTGCCATTTGCAGCAAAACGGGTGGAACTTGAGGACATCATGTCGAGTGAAATGAGCAGAAACAGAAAGACAAATACCATATATTTTCTCTTATATTTGGGAGCTAAAATTTAAAAAATCAATCTAAATGTAGGATGTTGATTTCTAGATGCTGGAAAGAGTTTGGGGTATATGGAAATGATTTGTATTACTTCCTTATAATTTTATTTTTGTAAACTTCAAATATTGCCGAAATAAAGTGTTAAAAATGAAACAACTTAGAGGCAAACAAATTGTATTTTGAAATAGTCAAACTATAATACAATTCAGTGTCAAAAGTTCCAAATACAGATGAAGCATGAGAATCTTTTCTTTTTAAAAAACATTTTATTAGGGGCCAGCGCCATGGCTCACTTGGTTAATCCTCCGCCTGTGGTACCAGCATCCCATATGGGCACCGGATTCTGTCCCGGTTGCTCCTCTTCCAGTCCAGCTCTCTGCTGTGACCCGGGAGTGCAGTGGAGGATGGCCCAAGTGCTTGGGCCCTGCACCCCATGGAAGACCAGGAGGAAGCACCTGGCTCCTGGCTTTGGATCAGTACAGCACCGGCCGTGGCGGACATTTGGGGAGTGAACCAACGGAAGGAAGGCCTTTCTCTCTGCCTCTCTCTCTCACTATCTATAACTCTACCTGTCAAATAAATTAAAAAAATTTTTATTGAAATGCAGCATACATACCAAGAAATGCAAAATAGTGTACAGATGAATTTTTCGCTCATAACTGATACCCAGATTAAGAAAAAAGCATTTCTAGTACCCCAGGAGTCCTCACTGTCCCCCCCATTTCTTTTTTTTTTTAATGTGTGAGATAAGTTTATTGTCATTTACATGACAATAATTCAGTGAAGCACTGTTTATCACTATAGACCAAATGACATGATATCTATTCAATTTTATATTATAATATTTTTAGTCCCACAGATAAGAGAATTCATGTGATTCTTGTCTTTCTGAGTGTGGTTTATTTCACTGGCCATAATGATCTCCAGTTGCATCCATTTTGTTGTGCATATCAGGATTTCATTCTTTTTATGGCTGAGTGGTATTCCATCATATTTTTATATCAGATTTCCTGTATCCAATCATCTAGGATGATTCCATATCTTAGCTGTTGTGAATCGAGCTGCTGGAAACATGGCAGAGCAGGTAACTCTTCCACATGCTGATCTCCTTTGGATATATTCCCAGGAGGGAGTAGCTGGGTCATAGAGTAGTTCTGTTTTTAGTTTTCTGAGGACTACCTGTACTGTCTTCCATAGTGACTGTACGAATTATTTTCAGTGCTCACTAGCCTCTCTATACAGATGTCAGAATCCTGTAAATAATGTGGTTCTTTCACTTGCTACAGATCTTTACTTTCACTCAAGTAAAGCCTGGTTTAGTGGAAGGAGTAGTGAAAGTAGAGACCTTCTCGTTAATGCCCTTTTAGTGAGCAAATACCAGATGTTTAACTTACTTCCTCATCTGTCAGATGGAAAAATGGTAGTATACTTTTATTCTGCCTCTCAACTCTCTTCCTTCTGCTTTTCCTAATAAACTGCAATTACTTAGTTTATTACTTAGCCTGTCTTGCCAAGACATTTAAACATCAGTGGTATAGAAGGACAATGTGAGGGTGGCATCTAATAAGATTTAACAGTTTGGGGATCAGAAACATGGCCACCAGCAGAGGCAAAGAGGGACATGTAAGAAGTCAGATGGAACATGGTCATACAGAGGGGAAGCTGTCCAGCCAGAATGCAAGGCCAAGGAACTTACCTAGGCAAGATACCAGGATGAAGACCAGGAAGTCTGGGCAAATCGGTCCAGTATGGAAGTGAGAGAATGTGAATAATGAGATGTCGAAGCTTAAAAATCCAAATAATAGCCATTGGCTAACAGACGCAAGATTCTGCAGTGTGACAAATACCCTAATTAACAAGGGACTTCTGAGTGCGTGTGATCAGCCCTCGTGTCTGTAGCTTTATTCATTTCTATTCAAGCTCTGAAGGATCGGGGATACTGCTGGAATAAGACTGTCTCTGCCTGAGAAGCGTGCAGCTTTTGGGGGAGATTGATAAATAGACTGCAAATACATTATAGTTGGATATAAATGTAAATTTAATGTGAACGCATTAAAAAAGCACATCCAAATCAGACAAGGGAAGAAGTCCTAAAAAATTGTTTTTAGGTTTTTACTTAGGGATGGGTGTTGTGGCACCATAGTTAAGACATTACTTGGGATGCCCACCTCCCCTATCAAAGTGCCTGGGCTCAAGTTTCCACTTCTGCTAATGGGCACCCTTGGGACAGCAGGTGATGGCTGTAGTATCTGGGACCCTCCTACACATACCAGATGGCATTCTGGGTGTCTGACCGGGCCCAGTACTGCCTCTTGCAGGCATTTGAGGAGTGAACCAGCAGATGGAAGATCAGTTAGTTCTCATTCTCTCTCTGTCTGTGTCTCTCTTTCTCTGCCTTTCAAATAAATAAAAGTCAATTTAAAATTATTTGTTTAATTTGAAAAGCAGGTTAGTTAATTTTTATTTATTTGAAAAGGAGAGAGAGAGATCTATCATCCATTGATTGACTCATCAAATGCCTGCAACAGCCAGGGCTAGGTCAGGCTGAAACCAGGATCCAGGAACTCACATGGGTGACATGGACCCAACCACTGGATCCATTACCTGCTGCCTCCCAGAGTGCGCAGCAGCAGGAATCTGGCATCAACAGCGGAACTTCCGGAATGTGGGCATGACAAGGAGCAACTTAACGGCATGCTGAATGTCTGTCCCTAGAAGAATCTCTAGTGACGTGATGCTGGTTTTGACATCTGCAAGCCCAACAGAGGCTGATCAGGCAGAGGAGAGAGAGCAGAAGGTGCTTCAGGCAGAAGGGGAAACGTGTGTGACGCTGCAGTCTTGAGCAAGACCAGAGGAGTAAACGAGGGAAAGGATAGCAAGTGCTTTGTGTCCTGTAAGATGTGAGAACGTCATTGTTCTGTAACTGGGAAATAAATCCGGCGCAGTGTAGAATAAAAGTTTTGGAGGAAGCAGCATTGCGCCTTCCGTAAGAAGGCCACAGTAACTCGGCCAGTGGTGAGGGTTTGCTCACTGCAGCAGACTGAACCAGAAGGGGGAGGTTTGAAAGACAGACGGGAGGCGGATATCTGTGTGGAAGGTCATGGAGGGAGGACTGCTAGAACTTCCAGGGGTAGAGGAAGCAGAACCGAAGTTCCTGTTGCTTTTTGTGTTGCGACTCATCGATGGCAGAGCTGTTTGTTTAAACTTTAATACTAAGCTCAAAACCCTGGGAGCAGACTTCTTATATGTATCTTGTTGGTAGACCAGATTTATCCCTTTGTGTAATTAATCCAAAGTCATCGTGTTCAAGAAGGTTATGATCTTCCGGGGAAGGCACACATGGGAGAATAAGATAGCTGAAGGGAGTGATAGGAAACATGATGAAGAGACTCTCTTTCTGAAAAAGGTTGTGATTATTTGGACTTCCCCACTGAAAATAACTCTGATGCTAGATTTAAAATAACAGAAAAACAAAAACACTTAGCAGTTTTAAGGAAGTAAGTAGATAGTTAGACACTAATATGTCAAAACTTAAGTGAAGACAGGAACCCGTAATAACAAATAGAGAAGATCGTGGAAGACTCTTTGGTCTGAGGTGGTCTGCTCACCCAAGCATACAAGATATGTTTTTCAGGCTTCTGAGAAGAAGCCAAGCTCATGACCACAAAGAGTATAATAGCAGAGCTTCTGCTAGCGTAGATTTCATCTCAGTTAAAAAAAATGGACTGCAAGCACACCATCATCCTTGCCGTCCTCGAGAGTCTGGAGCAGGGTTCCCTTGCCTTGATGGTAGTGGATGAGGACTGTCTGAGCAGTGGTAACCACAGCTGTCTTCTAATGACTGTAAACCCAAATTCACACTGCGGGTAGTCTGATAAAATCTCAAGCCACCCTGGACTTCAAGCGGCACTGCTGGGAATACCCATAGACACTAGGCAGAAGCAAATTCAAGATTTGTGGAACTATATGCTTTCATCTTAGCACTATGGAAATCTCCTTACTATTTTTTTTCAAGAAGACAACAATGTATGTGACAATTATCAGGGGGAATAAAGGAAGCAGAAATTGACCCATGAAGACCAGAGTTAGATATTTATTATAAAA